TAAATCTATTATATAGTCTTTAAAAAGAATGAAGCAGGTCTGAGTGTGCTGATGTGGAAGGACATCTATGAAATATGATTGTTTTTTAAAATAAATGTTGTAGAAGAATATGTATAGTGTGATCCCATTTGTAGTTTTATTAATGAAAAATATTTATGCTTCTATATGGAGAGTACACTTCTAGAATGACACCCAAACTCCTTGGAGTGGAACTGGGGAGTGAGAAAATGACTTTTTAAGTACACCTTCTTCTACTGTTTGAAGTTTTTACTATGAGTATAAATTTTATAATTAAGTTTTTTAAATAAAGAGGGAAAAATTACTCAAAAATAGCATTTGTTATGCTTTTTTTTGTAAATAACATTTGTTACACTTGACATGATTTATTTATTTGTCATATTTTTGTTTTAACATTCATCTTCCCTATAATTTCTACAATGATAAGAAACAGGTGCCCCCCCGCTTACTCACTGATATTTCCCCAAAGCTTCACTCTGTTCCTGGCACACAGAAGGACCACTCCCTCCCTCTCTTGTCCCCTCCAACTCTGGTAGCCCCACCCCTGAGGTGAGATTCTCAAAGAGATGCTCTGGAATGGACACATTCATCTACCATAGGCATTAAAAAAAAAAAAAAAAAACTCAATTGGAGACCAAAGTAACACGTATGTACTGTATCTATAAACCTTGATTAACTGATGAAAATATCAGATGTTAAAAACAAAGATTAGACCTCCAGACTACCTTGGTTGCATATGGATTTGGCAAATTTGAAAACCACTCATAGTAAGGGTTTCTGCCTCACTCTTTTATTTTGGATCATTTTAATCAGGAAGGGAGTCAGAATATGCCACCCCAAAATATGTCACGTTGGCATAAGGATTATTTTGAGCTAAAGGCAATTGAGAAATGGCAGACACATGAAGTGCTCTCTGTCTTCCCATTTTCTGCATAAATCAATCTGCACCCTCTCTCTTGGTAAGGGTGACATAAAGTTCCATTTATAAATGTGTGTGTCCCCTCTAGTATTTTGAAAAGGAGAGCAGACTCTTATCATCAGAGACTACACTGTGATGAGTCTGCATTACAAACCTTACTAAAAATCCCTCATTTACCTTATATTTCCTAGTTACCTCCCAAGTTTATCACCCCCAGAAGCCCCAAAACCCTTATCCTTTGTCTGGTCATTTTCCCAGAATGTATCACCCTTTGTTAAAATGGTATATAAATGCTGGAGTCCAACTGCTGTTTTCAGTTCTCACTTTTTTTTTTTTTTTTTTGGTGAAGCCCCTCCACTGGTAAAAATTTTAAAATCAAGAAAATATGCATGCCTTTTCTCCTGTTAATCTGTTTTTTGTCAGTCTAATTTGGGCTAATCTTAGGTACAGAACCTAAGAGGGTAGAGGAAAAGGTTTTCCTCTTCTACAATCCCATATGCACATGAAATTTAACTTTGGGTAGGAGATATCCCCAACTATAAGGTCTGTAGTATAGAGAGAATTCACCGCACTGTAATTTTTTATTGTGGTAAAATATATAACATAAAATTTACCATTTTAATTATTTTTCAGTTTACAGTTCAGTGGTATTAAGTGCATTCACATTGCTGTGCAACCATTACCACCATCCATCTCCAGAACATTTTTCATCATCCCAAACTGAAATTCTGTACCCCGTTAAACACTAATAACCACCATTCCATTTTCTGTCTCTATGAATTTGACAATTCTAGATAGAAGAATTGTACCAAGAATTGTACCACATATTATACAATTCTTTGGAATTATACAATATGTGGCCTTTTGTGTCTGGTTTATTTCACTTAAGATAATGTTTTCAAGGTTTATTCATGTTAGAGCCTGTGAATTTCCCTCCTTTTCTAGGCTGAATAATATCCTATTGTATAGCTATAACTCATTGCAATTTTGATGTAAGGCCATTTGTACTCTTCACGGAAATCACTGAACAATGAGCCAGCAATGGGATGAGTGATGGGCAACAGAATGGGGGCAGGAGTGTCACAAGAGGCACTAGGTTGAAAATGAAGTCCAATAACGGGGCCCTCAAATTCAAATTGGTGTCTCCGGAGTAAATGGACCATGCTCCCTGGGGAGGGAAATCTCTGGAAAAGCTTCCCCTGTGGCCAAGTCATTGGTGAAACACACAGAAGCCCCGCCAGGAACCAGGAAGCGAAGCTGGCAGCAACAGCATCTTGGCACATTCACACACACTCATTTTTTAAAATTTATTTTATTGAAGTATAGTTGATTTACAATGTTAAATTCTGCTGTACAGCAAAGTGATTCAGTAATATACATATTCAGTTTTATATATATATATATATATATATATGAATATATTATATATTCTTCGTTTTAATCCCCTTTTCCATTATGGTTTATTACAGGATATTGCATATAGTTCCCTGTGCTATACAGTAGACACGCACTCACTTTTATTTTTACTTAGCTATTATTTGCTGGATAATAATGCAAAATAATCCTCCATGCTACATTACAAATATTCCCATTTAATATTTCAGTTCACCCACGTTCCTGATCTCCACACTGTGGCTCTCGGGCTATGTGCTTTTCTTTACACACACTATCAGTTGATTCCCAGAGGACTTCACAGGCGTGGGTACTATGGTCTTCCTTGTTGATGGCTAAGAAAGTGAAGGACAGAGAAGTTAAAAACTGGCCTCATTCCACATGGGCAGAATCCAAACCCAGGTGGGAGACTCCATACTCACAAGAATTCTGCCACTTTGTGAAAGTGCTTTGTAGTAGAGCCACCACCTGCAGACACACTGATACAGTCCAGCGACATAGAGCACATCCCCTGCACTACAACTGAACTAAATTCTCGGGAACAATTATTCATTGGGAAAATTCTTACAAATAAAGAAAGTAGCTATCGTCTAAGTCCAAAAGCTATCTGATGAAATCTTCTATTATCATCCAATTAAGTAAAAGTTAGTGCTCAGCAGTTCAAAAGTGATGGATGTTCCATCTTAGGAGAAAGATGATATATTCAAATGCCGCTAGCACAGAGCATCCAGCTTCCAGCCTCCCAATTTCCAGTCTTCCTCTATCAGGTTGGGAGTCTCTGCCCAGATGTCATCACTAGGAGGGAAGAATAGAAATATACCCTCTGTGGGGATGAAGAGAAAGCTGGAAGCAAGCAGGACACAGATAAGAGGCACTGGTGCTCAGGCGTGGGCTGACATCAGAGTCCCCCGGAGGGCTTGTGAAACCCAAGGTTGCTCCACCCTCAGAATCCCTGATTTGGTGGGTCTCAGCTGGGGGCTGAGATTTTGCATTTTTAGTAAGTTCCTTGGAGTTGCTGCTGTTTCTGGGTGCAGAGACCACACTTGAGAAGCATGCCATCCAGTATACGATGTTTCCACCTGATGTCTGCAGCAAAGGGAACACCTCTAAACGAGACATGCCTGCACACACCTGCACACCACATACCTGCACCACACACTTGAACTTCCACAGGCACCACATGCACACCCACCACACACACACACACACACACACACACACACACAATCTGTGTATATGTGCCCCAGACACACTAACCCCTGCACTACCCATCAGACACACACACACCACACACCTTCACCACATACTTACATGCACAGACCCTTGTGTGCACACACATCTGCATCACAATGTGCACACACACCCACGCATCTGTAACCCCTGTAGACAGGCACTCACACACACACACTCGCGCATATGCACTGTCCATCTGCACCACACACACACATCCCACCTACACAACTGTGCACCATTCATCCGTACCACACCCACTCTTTTGCAGATTCCAAGTTGCTTGCAGCTACCACCTTCCTCTTGAGACAGCACCCCACCCTTCTCCTCTTTCTTCCTGGTGTATTCTCTATACTCCAGACCTTATAGTGGGTAACATCTCCCACCTCATGTTAAATTTTATATGCATATGGGACTGTAGGGGAGAAGAACCTTTTCCTCTACCCTCTTAGGTTCCATACCTAGAACAGCAAATTAAACTGACCAAAAATAGATTAACAGGAGAAAAGGCAGACAGCTTTTATTGATGTGAAAATTTTTATGTGTGCGGGGGCTTTCCAAGTACTGCAGGGGGCACACATTCCAGTTTCCTGTGTGGCTGGCCCAGATGCCTTTCCCAAAGTGTCCACCCAAAAGGTCCCCTGTGTTCTAGGCATCTCTCTATTTTCTTCCCCAATCCCCCTTCAACTTTCCAACTCTCATCAACCAAGTTCTTATGAATTCTACTTTCCATTCCAGTGCAAACATTTTCCATTCAACTTAAATACATGCAGCCAGCAGTTACAGATCACTTGCTGTGCAAAGCCTTAGCCTAAGCATGTTTGAGAGGAAAAATGATGATGACGATAACCTTGACCCTCATTCATTCATTCCATGCATACACCAGGTCCTACGTGAGCAACACATATAAGACAGACATGCCCTATACTGTCTCACATTTTACAGTCTGGTGGTCTTAACCATCTTCCCCAGCTTCCGCCCCAGAGTGAAGCAGGTCACTCCAGCGCTAACCTAAAAGATGGTAGGAAGGATTCCAGGGGCCAAGAAACCAGCATGCCTAGGAGGTACTTGAGGAACTTCTTTCCAGCACTCTCCCAACCCCCCAGAGTAGGGAACAGCCTTCTCCTGCCTCTTCTGACGTGAATTCTGATCTCAGCTGCAATTCCAGATAGTTCTCTAGAAATGGGGAAACCATCCAGACTAGCAGGTGAAAATGAAAATTATTATAGTATTAGCAATAATAAAAATAATAGTAATATTTTTCCCAGGGAAAAATAAAAGCCACCTTTTAGTGAGGATATATTATATGCTATACATTTTAACTGCTAATTCTTACCCCAGGTATTATCACCCCATTTTCCAGATGAAAAAATAACGTCCCTGAAACACTAGTCTGAGGTCTTGCGCATGGTCAACGGGGGTTTCAATCCAAGTGACTGACGTCAGCAGCTGCTTCCTGTCCTGTGGAATCGGCAGACAGCACCGATGCCATTCACAGAAGTGGCAAGCATCTCTGTGCCCACCTGCTGCACGTCCACGCCAGCACACGGAAAGAACTGGACCATAAAAACAAAAGTGTTACCGCAGACCTCCGAGATGAGTAGATGAAATTACAGTGTTATTTTGATTTTTTAATTTGAATCAAACTCATAACTTAAAGAAAAGAAGCTTTGAGAATAAGAGAGAACTTTAGCCTTCCAAACCATGAATTACTTTCTTCTTCTATAACAGACTCCTTGTTTTAATGATCCACACACATCCGTGTGGCTGGTCGCGAGGTAGTGAAGCTTGATTTAATTTCCCCATGATTCAGACTTGTCCAGACATGTGTCCTCAAACCGTATTTGAGGGCAACAAGGGTAAATAGTCCCCAGACCAGAAGATGTTCCCTCGGTCACCTCCCACTCACTCTGTCTGCTGACCTCCAAGGAAATTCAGCCCTGCAGTCAACATCTGTGGTCCAATCAGCCAGGCTGGAATAAAAGGTACTTAACCGCCCAGCTCGTTTTGCAAGGTTAGAAAGAATCAATAGGAGATGTGTTTAATGCCGTATTATATCAGGTCTCATCACACTTTTAAAACTGGAGTATCCACAGTGGTGTATCATCCTGGTCTCACAGTAAAGAGAATGGGTTTAGCGTGGTCTAAGATAGATATCACGGCTTTATTACACGTATGAAAAAAAAA